ACAGCATTGAGAGCATCAAAATGTTGTCGAGGCTGAAGGCAGTGACGGCAACGCGAATGTGGCCTCCAGTTGTCTCTGGTGATCGGCCAGAAAGGTGAGTTTCTGCGAGAGCAGTGAAGATCTCATCTCCGCGGTTTTCACCAACGATCTGGCACACTTCAGATCACACGAAACGTTCAGTATTTGCAGTGTTAAATTATGAATTATTCCGTCCGCTTTCCACGCTGACTGCTCGTATTCTTCACTTGGCCATCGTCGGATATAACTCACCAGATCGGGTCTAAATTTATAGATTTGAGATCAGTTTAGGACTTGTTGAGTAAGACACTCTTCTGATCAGAAGTGATCAGGAGAGTCTCTCATACGATGTCAGCTAACTCATCTTCGATTACTTATTTATAGGAGTTTATAAAATTATTAGGAATCACTAACAAAAAGTTTTGGGTTAAAATATATAAGATGAAGAGGCAAACCTGAAGAAACGTCGATGCTGCTCTTCGTTAAATATAACCGGTCCAATCATATCATCTTCGTCTACATCCGGTGCTGGACGCTTATTTCTTGACGGTTGAGGTTGTGCTTGCTGGAGTTGCGGATGCATCTGAGGCTGAGGCTGGGGCTGGGCCTGCATTTGGGGCTGAGCTTGGCTTGGATGGTGATGCGGCTGAGGTTGTGGATGGACCTGGGTGTGGGGCTGCTGAATCTGTTGCTGCTGCTGTTGCTGAGCATATTGTTGCGCTAAAACGTCGCGATTTGACTTTGTCTTTCGAAGATTACCACTTTTAGATGGATCATCGTAAATGAGATTCGACGATGGTGTAGTTGACGTTTGAGTGACGTACTGCGGTTGTGGTTGTTGGCGTTGCTGGGCATATGACGAATAATTTACACTGCTTGAGGCTGCAGCAGCTCGAGCTCCGGCTGAAGATAACGAGCACAGGATATTAGTAGTAAGAAAGTGAAATACGAAGTTGTGCATATAATAATGAGGGCAAAATAATGAGATAAGATGTTTTGGCGAGATTTGGAAGGGTTCCTCTTTCACGGGTACTCGCTAATCAGCAATAGGAGTAAGAGATGATACAGTTGAACCTACAAGATGATGATATTGGACTATGACTTGTCGTATTGTCAGCCAGTGATTTCTCGTATTCACGCCATTCCACCGGTTTTTCCCATTGTGAGACCTCAGTTTCGCGATTGTAAAAGTAGCGTTTCCCTGAGGAACTGTACTGTTCAGTCCATGGACCAAACTCACGTAAACGAGGATTCGATGAAGTTGTTGAATGACGATCCTTCAAAAACA